TTTTTTATTATTATTATTTTTTTTTGAACGATTGACCGGCGGCGGGGGCGAAGTGCAAGAAAAGAAGGGGAGTAGAAAAAAAAAGGGGGGGAAGGGAAAACGAACGGCGCAAAAAAGAAAAAAGAATAAAAAGAGAGGAAGAAAGAGCTGCGGCGAAAAAATCGGCAAAAAAAAAAAAAAAAAAAAAAAACGGTACAGCAGGAAGCCGACCGTCGCAACAACAACGGAAATATAGCAGCGCGGAAAACAAACGGGAAAAGAAACAAACAGATGCAGCGTAAACCGAGTGAAGCGGGGTGTAGTAGGGGGGAGGGGGGAGGGGGGAAGGGGGGGAGGTGGTAGCGACGTCGTTCCACAATGGCAGAATGCACCTGGAAGACTGGACGGCAAGGTACAGATGATGCATGTTGCTTACTTCAATGTCCAAGTACATTCTGATCGATGCATCCGAGCAAGTTAAAAAGGCACCGTACAGAGGCAGAGCAGTAACTGTCTCCTTTCTCTTTTGCCCTCTGCTGCTGGTCCCACCAGCACACAGAGGGAGGGTTGGATTGAACGTCTGAACGTGGACGCTTTTGCGAACAAGTGCAGAAAATCGCGATTCATCTGCGTTTCTGCATCTCTGCTTCGAAAACATCCAGATTCAGGCGCTTAATATCCAATCCTCTTTGCTAGTGGGATTTCGCCCGTTCTCTCGCTGCCTCTGATCAAAGACGGCTGAATACCCGCTCCGCAAAAAAAAAAAAAAAAAAAAAAAACGCTCCTCTTCTTCCCGGATTCAAAAGGTGGGGTAGGACAGCACAGCTGACAAGACTGCGCGAGACAGCAGCTGTTACGCTGAGAAAGGGAGAGGAGAGGAGAGGAGAGGGAGAGGAGAGGGAGTAATCGCAGTGGGAGAGTGAAGGGGTCGCCCGAGGCTCTTTTGGGGGAAAGACGGAGAGCAGGGAGGATTTGTTCTCTTCAGCGATGTCTGTCTTCTCTTCTGCACTCATTCCTTTGCGAATGCTTTGCCTCTCATCCTGTTGCTCCCCTCTTCCATTGCTCACGGCACTTCCTGACAACTCACATCACAGACGGAGTCACAGTATAGGTAGGTCTCTCTCTCTCTCTCTCTCTCTCTCTCTCTCTCTCTCTCTCTCTCTCTCTCTCTCTCTCTGTGTGCCTCTGTCTGTGTGTGTGTGTGTGTGTGTGTGTGTGTGTGTGTGTGTGTGTGTGTGTGTGTGTGTGTGTGTGTGTGTGAACTCTTGGGTGTTGTGCCTCGTAGCCTCCCTTCTTCAGTGATCCTGTCCTCCACGGCGCTTCTCCCAAGAGTACTGTCCTCTTTTGCTCCTTTGGTCGTCTTCCCTTTCCTGTTCCTTGGGCCTCCCTGCCCTTTTTACCCACCTCTTGCGTTTCAACCAGACCCTTCGGCGCATCACCACATATTGCATTTGCCATTTGCGTTCCTTGGGCCTTCCTGTTCCTTGGGCCTCCCAGCCCTTTCTTTCCTTGGGCACTACAGCGAGTGGACATTGACGAACCTCGACGCCGCCGTTGACAGCTGGAAATGCCCTCCTTTCCACGTCATCATGGTGGCGCATTTGCTTTTCTGCTTTACCGGCCACTCTCTCTTCTCCTCGTCTTCCTCCTCTTCCTCTCCTTCCTCCTCTTCCTCCTCCTGTCTTCCCCTTTGCTTATCCTCTTTCACTCGGCCGCTTCAATATCAATGCAAGGTCATTTTGCTTTTCCGTGAACACACTGATTATACTTCATGGATTGCTGCACTCGCGCAAATGTGCAAAGTTATGTGCTTGTGGTGATGTTGGTGGAAATGTGGTGTAGGAGGAAGAGAAGAAGAAGAAAAAGCAGAGAGAGAGAGAGAGAGAGAGAGAGAGAGAGAGAGAGAGAGAGAGAGAGAGAGAGAGAGAGAGAGAGAGAGAGAGAGCGCTCCGTGAAAGAAAGGTAAATGATGCTTGTGGTGGTGTTGATGCAAACGTATCACAGGAGGAAGAGAGGAAGAAAAAAAAACGCACACACACACACACACACACACACACACACACTCACACACACACACACACACACACACACACAGAGAGAGAGAGAGAGAGAGAGAGAGAGAGAGAGAGAGAGAGAGAGAGAGAGAGAGAG